TATATATATATATATAATCTTGCAGTATGCAAATGAAATGTACACTGGTTTCAATGCATTTTTTTTATTGTTTGTTTAGGTACAACTAAAGGCTGGAGGTATCCCTTTTAAAGAAATTTTGTTAACTTGTCAGTATTGTGTAATTGCAGTAGATGATGTCTTTAATGTTGGTCATCTTGAAAAATGTTTAAAGAACTTCAGGAAAAACATTTCTTATTAACCATTGCAGTGGGGCTACACACTGCAAGGGTTACCTGCTCGTTTCTGTCCCAAGTTATACTCGCCTGATGCTGAGCCAGCTTATTCTTCCCCCTCCTCTGCAGTGGTCTAAGGTCCCCGAGTCATCACATCAATATACTGTGTATAGAGGTGAGGATGCAGAGGAAAAATGCCAATGCTGCAGCAGAGGAGGAAACCGGTTGGGGGGAGCACTGCGACAGCTGACCAGCTTGGAGCTTTGGGTAAGTATAACTATTATTTTTGAACTTAGGCAAAAAGGAGCTCCTAACCCTTGCAGTGCTGAGGAAGCACCACAGCAAAGGTTAAGAAAACGTTTTCCTGGAGTTCTTCTTTACAATTACTATTCTCAGTTGTGATCCATGCTTCCTCCACCCACATCTGAAGTGAGCCAGGTTATCCAGCACTTCCTCACTATCCCTGCACAAACTTCATTTCCCATGAACCCTCATCAACTGATTTGCATAGAACAAGGTGGGTCAGTAGGAGTATCGCTGGGTGATGTTGGGTCGTGGTTTATGCAAACACAAGGTAAGTGTGGAGACTGCCAGAGTAACACTGCAAAGTCATCACAGGAGGATTATTTCACCTATAAAAATGCATTCTCAGAATGTAGAGAGCACAGATGTGTGGTTTTCAGAAGAGGGAGACATCTGCAGATAATGGATAAGTCTATTCATTTGGGGAAAGAAGAGATATGAGTATGTGTGTAAACTGATAGAACTGTGGCTGTGGGAAGAAAAAAAACAAAACCAAAAAACTAAAAAGGTGCAGGTAAAAGTGATGCTTAATGCCAAAAAGTGATTTTGTTATTTGATCTCTGTATTCCCTCAGCTGATGAACACAAACTCAGCACAATGTCTCCAGCTACTGCTGTCAAACTCAATCACAGTGGACAGAGCTCGGTGAGAATAAGCAGTGCTGGGAAGAAGTAGGGATGGGCTATTGAGCTGTGATTCTGCACTTTTCTTTTTATATACAGCTGATATTTCTATTTTGAGGGATTAAAAAAAAGATGGTTTTAACAAGAAATACTGCATATAAAAAAACATTCCAATTTATCTTTTTGCAGTCGAGTATTCCAAGATGTCAAATAACTGGTATATTACAGTGAATTGAACACAGGCCTTAGAAGCAGTATGTCAGATTACACACACAGCTGAATGACACGTCTCTTCCTCTCCGAGTAGAGAAGACGCCCTGAAGGTTCAGCCTAAACTAGCAGGCAGCTATAGAACTAGTACTGGGCTTTCTTATTAGACATCTTGCTATGCACTGCACACACTTAAGAGTAGAACCAATTTTCATCATATGCTTATTTATAAAATAATGACTTTATTTACCATTTCATCCATTAAAATACAAACAGTTTATGGAGAAGCCTTATATTTCAAGGCCAAATTACTACACCAGATGTCAGCAGTATAAAACATGCAGGTTAAAGTCTCCAAGTGCAGCTTCAGCTCACAGTAATTAAATATAAGTACATAAATGTTGGGGGTCATAAATAAAACAGGAGAAAGCCTTAACCCCATAGCTCTCCTTTAACATATCCTCCAATGTTAAAGAACTTCTGAAATTTACAACTGTAGAATGTTCCGATTAATATGGTGGAAGGTGCAGGACAACATTCATCACTGGCCCGTTGTCAGTTTTTTTTAAAAGGAATCACTAGAGACATATTAAATCGAAATAGGTAAACAGGGGTCTGTCTGTACCAGATCACTTCTCAGAACATAGGCTTTGTCATAAATACCAAAATCAAGCCAGGTTGCCGTGATTCACTGAACTACAACCATGCAGCAATGTTTTCAGGAAGTTCCTATGAATAATCCTGTTGTTCACCCTTTCCTGAACTCCCAAACACTAGTTTGGCAGGTTGGATCGAGAAACAACACTATTCCTATGCCAAAGGAAAGCTCTCGTCTCTTCGTGTATAATGTCCTGCAGACTTGGACCGATTTTTATGGATATGTGAATTACTCTTGAATGCTGGGAAAGGAAGAGTATTTCAGCAGAAAACTGGCAGATACACAACTAGTCCAAATGTAGCAACCACTACTCAATAACTGCTGTGGAAAAATGTCTCAACTCTTGCTTCATATGCATTTTATTTGTGTCTATCATTTCTGCTTATATATAATCTGATCAGACCAGGCTATATATTACTGAAAGACACTTTAGATCCTAGATGTTGTTCATACCAACAATTTTGTTGTAATGTTTTGCAAAGTTTAGGTAGAGAAACAGGTGGCTTTCCATTTCACAAAGATCCCTTCCTACTTGTCCTTGAACTATAAAGACTATAAAGAAATAACTCGCCTGTAGGGTATTTTGCACATCTGTGCCTCTATAATGACACATTATAAGGGACAGCTAACCAATGCGCACATTAACGGAGATCTATGGGGTGAGTGAAATACACAGGCCGGCTCTATTGATCGGGAAGTCAGTGAACACATACCGCCGATTCCTGACTTTCCGTTCCTCTCCCTGCAGAGAGCAGTGACCGTCAGTTACCTCTCCCCACAGGTATTCCCCCCCTCCCCTCCGCGATTCTGCAGAACTGACTGGAGGAACAGATGGGGAGGGGGCGGGCACAGCTGGCTCTGCCTCTAGATAGACAGAGCCCGTTGTCAATCAGCCAGCAGGGTGGATCTCGAAAGTATTTTCGGGATCTGTCCCGGCTGCGGTGCTCTCAGTATATAGCGACCAATAGCCTGCTATATACAGAGTTCTGGGTCACGGGAGGAGGTTAGTATTAAATATTGCATTCTCTGCATGTAAAACCACATTACACCTTCATAAAAGAAAACCCAAGAAAAACAAAAACATGATGGCGGAGAAAATACGCTAACCTTAAATGCACCATGTGCAGTGGACCCCTGGCAAGATCCTGGGAATGCCGAGTACCCCAAATCTGCCAAGATGTTCCAGCACAGTGCTGGTGTACTCAAAAGTCTTCATGGGTTATTTTGCACTTTTTAATACCGATTTAGATGTCAAAATTAAATGAGAACTATTGGGAGAGCAAAATGTACTTTTCCCAAAACTTTTGGCCAGCGTGCGACACCGCAGCTGTCAAATGCCGGCTCTATAGCTCGAGAACGATCACGAACCTTTAGTTTCTCAGCTCACGGTCTTCTCCCTACAGAGAGCGGTGGCTGTGATTCCTCCTCCCCTCGCTCAGTTCCTCCAGCGCTCATTGGAGGGACAGACAGGGGAGCAGGCACAGCTTTGTCTCCAGAGAGGCAGAATCAGCTGTCAATCAGGCAATGGGGTGGATATGGCAATATTGTCGGGATCTTTCCCGGCTGCATCGTGGCTCTGCGCTGTCAGCACAGTACAGTAAATGTGACCTGGAGACTCTCGCTTAAGTGGCTGTGCAATGCTCAGTGAAGATTTTAGAGGCACTGGGACAGGTAGGTAATAAATAAAAAGTGACAATGTCCATCTTCAGACCACATTCATGTGATATTGAATTAGGCACAACTATGTAAATTCTGTACGGTGTGGAATATGGGATGTTAAGAAAAAAACTCCAAATTCTTGCACATTAAGCAGTACTTGTGGGGCACAGAGTGGTCTTCCATCTCGCAGAAGATGCCAAACCAATTAAGCTCAGAATTACACACAAAAAAAAGAAATAAGCAAAATTCTGAAACAGTCATCATCAAGCATGGAAATTATTAAAAAACAAACCACACAACACGTTCAAGCCACACACAATTATTTTGCACAGATACATGTATGCAAAGGAAAGGAGATCACATTTTGTGACAACTGCATTACCTTTTTTGCACTTTCAGGACCAGATTCGTCAAAGCGAAAGCGAAGAATGCGGAAATCTTTGCAATAAATTATTAACTCTGTTGGGTTGAATTTCAGCTTTTTGTTAAATGAAAGGATCTTCTGTTTTTTCTTTGTGTCATTTACTAAAATAAGAACAAATCAATTATGAACAAATTGCACAACAGTTACAGGTTAAGGATTTCATACCAAGGACACATCAGGGTCAAAAAACAAGGTCTCCTTTGCCTCCTTCTATAACTGGTCTTATTGCAGTAAGGTGAAAACCGTTTGCTATTGCCCATCACACTCACTGTACGTCGGTGGTTAAACAACAAAAGTCTGATTAAGTATGTACATGGATTTTGCTGACTGCAGTTCAGCTGTTAAATCACTTGGTTGTCAGTACTTCTGTTTTCTGGGAACACCAGTTTCCAAGTCTGCAGGGCAAGCTCTCCCAACCTCATCCCACAAAAAACTCACTGTTATATTTCAAAGAAACAGAGAAATTACACAATAAAGAATCATGTGACCAGATAATGGAGTCCCAAGTAGAAAAGCATGGGGAAAATCTGTTTTGGAATGGATTAACATAAAATGTATACCATCAAACCTCCAAAGTTTCCTATACAGCATTAGCAGATCATTGGCAAACATCACGTATGGCCTAGAACAGGCCATGTGCTGAATCAACTGTATTTTATCCTACTCAGTTTTAAAACTTGAACTGTTCACCCCCAATCCCTAAAGTAGTCAGAACGCCAAAACTTGTATCACAACTCTAGTTAATCAGTTACCAGCAACTCCATAACAATAAAGCAGGTCCGTAAAATAGATGTTAGCTTCACATCATACATTTTGTTTTGCATTCCATCTTGTAACTAGAACCTACTAAAGAAGACACATACTCAGCTATTTCTGATGTGCATTACTGTACATACCTACAACAATTTGCTCTATACACGTTAGTGGAACATCATGTTCACCCAATAGCAGGTTCTTATAGTGGAATTTCTAGAGTAAAGGAACAAAAAAAACAAACATGAAATCACAGTAAGGTCAAACCAAACAATACTTTACCCCTATGAAGATACAGCACCCACACAGAACAAAAGGAAATAATGTGAAAAGAACAGACGATATACCAAGCCATGGATTCCATCTGACGAATATAAATATATCTGTTTATGCTTCACAGTAACAGATGCAGTGGTCAGGTAGTGAGCTCTATGCTCCTTGGTCCTCCAACCTTTTTGTAAAGATGAAGCAGAGAATGGACAGACAAGACATCCAATAACGCACACTCTTGCTAGATTCACATCATATGAAAATGATTAATGAATATAACACACCACACAAAAAATAAAATATACATTTTGAACATCTTTACAGCCAACCCATGACATGCCAAACTACCAGCGAGCTGTCAATCAAAAAGTGAAGGTGCTGGTGTACTGTTCCTATAGGTGGCAAGCAAAATGACCCAGCATTGGAGACTTGGCATCAATTATAACACAGCTCTGGAAAAGGTAGAGGTGATATTTTTATATAGTTCATAGGCTGCCTTTTGACAAGTGTAAAATAAATCATTAAATCACCCTTTATGTCTGCCTGTGCTTGGGCCTGTGAGGACATGGGCTAGGCCACTTCATCACACAGGTGAACGCAGCACAGTCAGTCAAAGTCGGCATTGATCTGTAGTAGGGGCACCCTTAAAGAGACACTCCGCAAAAAAAATGTATTAACCCCTGCACTGCAAGGGTTAACTGCTCATTTTCATCTAGGGACTAAAATAAAACGTAAAAAAAGTTATACTGACCCAATCCTCCGAGCCAGCTTACTGCAGACCAGTCCATCCAGCCTCGCTCCCCCTCCTCTGCAGAGGTCCAAGGTTCCCGAGTCATCATGTTTTATACACAGTGTATTGGACGCAAGAACGCCAAGGGACATACCATTGCTGGAGCATAGGAGGAGAGCGGCTGGAGTGAGCACTGTGACAGCAGGCTGGATCCAAGGTTCAGGTGAGTAACTGTTATTTTAGTCCCTAGACAAAACCAGTCAGCTAACCCTCGCAATGTTGGGGTAGCCCCACTGCAAAGGTTAATACACATTTTTCCAGGGGTGTTTCTTTAAAAGCAGCCTATCATGACAGAAATCTGGGATCTGCAGTTGTCGAGTTGTTGTAAAATGTCAGTCCTCTAGGGCTGTCACCCTTACAATTGCTTCACTGCTTGGCGAGTCACAGACCTACAGCAAACATTCAAAGCACTGTGTTAGCGGACATGCACATGCTTACTCCAAGTCCATGACTCCTTAAGCACTGATGGAAGAAAAAGGATGACCGCTCTGGAGTCTGACCTTTCAAAAACAAGTCAGTAATATCTCCAACATTCCTGTTCCATGAATATGTTTATTTAAAGAGGAACTCCAGGAAAAGAATTTCCGGGAGTTCTCACTTAGCCTCACTGCAAGGGCTAACTGATCATGGTGGCTATAGTAAAAAAAAAAAGTTATACTCGCCCAATGCTCCGAGCCAGCTTGTTCTTAGATCGGCTCTTACATCCCTTTCTCCCCTCCTCTGCAGCAGTCCAAGGTCCCGTAAATTAGCACATTCTATACACTGTCTACGGTCCTGGCCAAAAGTTTTGAGAATGACACAAATATGAATTTTCACAAAGTCTGCTGCTTCAGTGTTGTAAGATCTTCTTGTCAGATGTTACTATGGTATACTGAAGTATAATTACAAGGATTTCATTAGTGTCAAAGGCTTTTATTGACAATTGCATTAAGTCAATATTTGCAGTGTTGACCCTTCTAATTCAAGACCTCTGCAATTCGCCACGGCATGCTGTCAACTTCTGTGCAACATCCTGAGTGATGGCGGCCCATTCTTCCATAATCAATGCTTGGAGTTTGTCAAAATTTGTGGGGGGGTTTTAGTTCACCCACCTGCTGAGGATTGAGCACAACTTCTCAATGGGATTGAGGTCTGTGGAGTTTCCTGGCCATGGACTCAACATTTCCATGTTTTGTTCCCCAAGCCACTTATTTATCACTTTAGCCTTATGGCAAGGTGCTCCATCATGCTGGAAAAGGCATTGTGCATCACCAAACTGTTCTTGAATTGTTGGGAGAAGTTGCTCTGGGAGGATGTTTTTGTACTATTCTTTATTCATGGCTGTGTTCTTAGGCAAACTTGCGAGTGAGCCCACTCCCTTGGCTGAGAAGCAACCCCGCACATGAATGGTTTCAGGATGCTTTACTGTTGGCATGACATAGTACTGATGGTAGCGCTCACTTTTTTGTCTCCAGACAAGTTATTTTCCTGATGCCCCAAACAATCGGAAAGGGAATTCATCAGAGAAAATGACTTTACCCCCCAGTCCTCAGCAGTCCAATCCCTGTACCTTTTGCAGAATATCAGTCTGATGTTTTTCCTGGAGAAGCGGCTTCTTTGCTGCCCTTCTTGACACTAGGCCATCCACCAAAAGTCTTTGCCTTACTGTGCGTGCAGATGCACTCACACCTGCCTGCTGCCATTCCTGAACAAGCTCTGCACTGGCGGTGCCCCGATCCCGCAGCTGAAATCAACTTCAGAAAACGGCCCTGGTGCTTGCTGGACTTTCTTGGGTGCCCTGAAGCCTTCTTCACAACAAATTGAACCTTTCTCCTTGAAGTTCTTGAAGATCTGATAAATGGTTGATTTTGGTACAATCTTAGTAGCAGCAATATCCTTGCATGTGAATCCCTTTTTGTGCAAAGCAATGATGGCTGCACGTGTTTCCTTGCAGGTAACCATGGTTACCAGAGGAAGTACCATGATTTCAAGCACCACCCTACTTTTAAAGCTTCCAGTCTGTTATTCTAACTCAATCAACATGACAGAGTGATCTTCAAGCCTTGTCCTCGTCAACACTGACACCTGTGTTAACGAGAGAATCACTGGCATGATGTCAGCTGGTCCTTTCGTGCCAGGGCTGAAATGCAGTGGAAATTTTTTTCTGGGGGATTAAGTTCATTTTCATGGTAAAGAGGGGCGTTGCAATTAATTGCAATTGATCTGATCGCTCTTCATAATATTCTGGAGTATATGCAAATTGCCTTTATACAAAGTGAAGCAGCAGACTTTGTGAAAATTAATATTTGTGTCATTCTCAAAACTTTTGGCCAGGACTGTATAGACGTGAGGACGCCGAGGAACATTTCAATGCTGCAGGGAGGGGGAGACGAGGTAGAGGAAGCGCAGCGACAGATGCCCAGCTGGAAGCTTTGGGCGAGTAGAACTGTTATTTTTGAACCTAGACAATAATGAGCACTTTACCCTTGCAGTGTGGGGGTAGCCCCACTGCAAGAGTTAAGAAAGTTTTCCTGGAGTTCTTCTTAAACAATGCCAATATATTGCTGAAAGTATACTGCTTCACACTGACTACATCTGCAGAAATACACAGATCACTGGCCAATTATGTGTACATGTTAGCATATATATTCCATTATAGCCTGCAGCACTATACAGCAGGTAAACCATAAATATCCATGCACTGTTTACTGACTGGAACATAGCAAAGAACAAAGGGTACAAGGAATCAGCTTCATTTCCCACCCCAGGCTTATACTCGAGTCAATATTTTTTCCTAGTTTTTTGTGGTAAAATTAGGTGCCTTGGCTTATATTCGGGACGGCTTATACTCGAGTATATACGGTATTTAAAGTTTGTACAACCCTGGTGCTGCAAATATGTCTTTGCGAAGCACTAAGCAGTACTTCTAGTAACAAGTTACATATACATACAAAGCAAGGTGCTGTACAAGGCCAGAAAAACTGCACAGAGCTGGTGGCCAAGAAAATGAAGAGCTGTTATTATAGCTGAAACCGTAAACATAGCGTCTGTATTGTTGAATGTCATAACTTATTACAGTAAAAACACTGAAGGAGGTGCCACTGACTTCAATGCACCGCCACACCTCCTCCCACCCCTGAACTCAAGGAGCCGGCTGAGTAGCAATACAGTGCGATCCCGAGGCCGACCGCTCTGGAACGCACTGTTAGTGGTGTGAACCGGCATGGAGGCCAGGTTTACACCCATTTTTCAGACCAGATCTGGAACACGGTGCATTGCATTTTGCCACGTTCTGGAGCTGTTTTTTAGCCTAAAATTGGCTTTCAGGAGCATTCCAGTTTGTTTGCATGCGTTCCAGACCAGACAAAATTAGACATGCAGTACTTTTTTGGTCTGGTCTGGAACAGACTGCACTGGTGTGAACAGAGGTCAGAAATAGCATAGGGATGAAACAATATGGAAACAATCTGGTCTGGAGATGATCTGGATGTGGTGTGAAAGGGCCCTAAAAGGAGGACCTTCTTATAGAAATGCTAGCTCTGGACTGGCTTTACTATGCTAACATGTAACAACAACTGGCCTATGACCTCTGTATTTCAGGAGATACGGTCTGCGTGAAGCACTATACATTCAGAAATCCTAACTGCATACATGGTACCAACCTGAAATGGCACAGGGTTATCTGTAATGAAGGAAAGCTTGAAGTTGGTGCACACCAGTTTTCCCCACAGATCATAGACACTTGTATCTGATGCAATGCACTTTCTGACAAAGTTCACTTCATTCACAACGATTTCACCTAAGAAAGCAAAAGTGGGAAACAAACAAAGACACAAAGTCAAATAACCAAACCCTAATCCGCAAAGGAACAAATGATACATTAAAGACATTAGGCATGGGGGTGTAAGTAAAAAGATTTACAGAAGCTGTGACAATACCTTAAATTGTACCTTTCCTTATAAAACTGTAGCCCCTGCAATATTTGAAATCTGTACAAAAAATTAAATGCAACATGGCGACCTGGAGGCGTTCCGTACACAATTGGTATACTGAACTCCCCCAGAAATGTCACATCCTGGTTCTGTGAATTTTATTTTTGACGAGATACTACCTAATGGTTAGGCTCTGTTCACACCTAGCGTTTGGTAGCGTTTTTTTTGTCCTAAAAAAAAAAAAAAAATGCACCAAACAAAATCCCATTCATTTCTATGCCCATGTTCACGTTTGAGCGTTTTGTCGCTTGTTGCAAATTGGAAAAAAAGTACACGAGCTTCTTTTTGGCAGATTAAGCCCTTTTTGGTCCCATAGCCTCCAATGGAAACGCTCAAAACTGTGCGTTTGCTACAGTTTTGCATGCATTTTACGCACGTTTGCCCATTTACATCAATATATCACAATTGGCTCACAAAAATTTGTGACAATGTATGCGCAGCCTTAATTACCTCTAAAGGGATGCCGCCACTGCACCTTTCTTCATTACAACACAGGAAGCCCACCAACTGATTATAATGAACACAGACCCTCCCAATTCAGGAATCAGTTTGGAAAGGACATGCTGCAACAAACAGCTATTTCTTCAGAACAGAAACAGGAAGGAAACTGCAACAACACTGATTAAAATTCTTGCATCACCCATAGGGGATTGATTTTTTTTTTTCTCAGCAAAAGTGGAATAAAGCTGACCATACACTATGCAATTAAAATTTGCACAGTTGGTACAGCTGTGGGTACCCCTCTGGCTGGCTTCCTTTGATCAGCTGATTGAAGGAGCCGGATGGGAAATCTTTGTATGAACAATGCTTGCAGCTCCGTTCAGCTGCAAGCACCGTTCATGTATTCTGACAGCGGCCACTGCCAGAATACAAAGGAAACAGCAGAGGATTCGTCCATCAATGCTCGTAAGCGGTCGGTTTTGAGAGAATCGGTTTTGGTTTTTATTGCGTGGATGGAGGAATATGCTATATTGTTTTCTGTCCAGCCCACTTGAACAATAAAATCTATAGATGTGTGGCCAGCCTTATGGTTACGTTAAGATTAGAGTTAGAATTTGTTTGGTTCATTTTAAGAATTAAAACAAAACTCAATGCAAACACCTAAATACACAGTGAAAAAAATGCGTTTCGATTTTAAACCTAATTTATACTACGGTAAACCCCATCATGTGATTACACACATTTTCCACACTGACGGGAGACACAATTCGCTACCAATGGAGCAATGCATCTTCCTAGGTCACCCCTAGTCTCCAGATTCTGGACAAGAATTCTCATGAGCACAGATCTACCTTGCACAAATTAATTCAGCAGGAAACTCGTCCTCCCACCCTGACATATGTCAGAAATTATCCAGGTGAATCATTTTGCAGCTTACTTCACCATCAATTAACAGATTTCCAAAGATTTCTACTCCTGCCCTCTAAGCTATTTTATGCCACCACCTCTTCTTCCATAATCATTATGTTGTGTGCCAAGTCCTCTGCTTCACCCCTACACCGCAGAATCATACACAAACACATAGGAAGGGAAATTAATCTCTTCATTCAGAGTTCTATCATATCTGTATTCCCTAACAAACTAACTCCACCCTGACCTACAGCAGATATGTGAGGGGAATTGATCATAACTGGAGCAGGCAGAATCTGGAGCAGTTGCCCGTAGTATCCAATCAGCTTCTCTCTAGTTTGTTCAATTAAGCTTTGTTTATTAACAGAAGAAATGATAGATTACAGTGTTATAATCCATCTGCGATTTTTTTTTTGGAAATGTTTGTACCATAACCATCAAAATATTGTTCAAACTAATAACATGACAATTCATCTTCAGCAGCCAACTGAAAGGGAATTTCTCCAATATGGGAAGGCCCTCCCCAACCCCCCACAATAGATTCAAAGTTATACTCACACGATCCTCAGAGTCAGCTTGCCCTTACACCAGTGGTTCTCAACCTTCATTAGGTCCAAGACCCATTGGTAACACCCCAATAGTAAAATTTAGGGATGCACGAAATACTCGTATCTGTGCAGATACTGAGCATTGGGGTACTTGCCCAAATGCTCAGATACCAGAGCTGCCGGTCAGAGGGAGATTCCAGGCACCCTTGCGACAATGCTGGTCAGCCTGGCTAATTAAGAAAAAGAGCGGTGGCTCATGACCTGTTACCCGGCTTCCTCATTGGTCTGGAGGCCAGTATGCAATGCCGCAATGAAACATGAAACCAACTTCCCAGCCAATCAGGAAGCTGGGCAGCAGGTCATCTTCCTGATTGGCCAGGAAGTCAGTCTCTTGCAGCACTGTTTTTGATACCGAAAAACTGGGATTACCCTTGCTGCATCATGGCTCCCGTTGAGATCACACTCCAGAAGAAAGGACTACTAATCCCAGTAATACATTACACAGCAATGTAGAATGGCACCGGCTATAGAGGACTACAAATCCCAGTAATACATTATGCAGCAATGCAGAATAATATGAAGCTACATACAGGTTTGTGGCCTGATGTCTCAGGAGGGCTGTACGCGCTCTCAGGTGGCCAGTGGGGGCTCTCTGGCAATCAGGGAGGGCTCTCTGGCAATCAGGGAGGGCTCTCTGGTGGTCAGTGGGACCAGAGCGGATTGCCATCGAGCATACCGGGGTTATCCAGGCCCGACCAGGGCTATTTGCAGGGGCGGGCTTGGAGCGGGAGCTACCCTAGCCCCCATGTTAATCTTGCCCTGGCTGCAGTGACATCTGGCCACACGGTAGGAAAACTGACACTGCTGCTCTAGGGGGTGGCTGAGGAGCCTAGCTCAGCAAAAGGCATGTGGCGAGCCAGGCACCTAGCTCAGCAAAAGGCACGTGCTTCTTTTGGCAGTGTCAAGCTCGTTTCCCCACCTCCCCCAAAGACTTAAATGGAAATGCCAGGGAACGCACAACGGACATGTTGCACATTTTCATGCGTTTGTACGTGCAATCGTCCACTGACAGCAATGTTCTTAAGCTGCCAGTCAAAAAGCACATCTTCATGTGAAATAATGTAAAAATGTGCCAATAGTGCAAATAATCGCACGCTGAATCCGCGCATACAAACGCCTAAAACGATGCCGCCTAGGTGTGAGCCAGGCCTAAGTGCACATTTTTGTCTAGGAGATGGAGTAAAGTAGTTTACTTACCTCTTCCCCCCACTCTCCCAGCTCCCTCCAGGCTGCTAGACTGATCCCTACAGCCTCTAAGGACCGATGACTTCATGTCTAATATAGACCTATGTTACCATGAGGATGAAGGACATTCCTCCAGCTGGAGCAGAGGAGAGATAAGCAAGCTCTGGCTTCTGAGGGAGCGGGGATCAGGTCAGCAATTCTGCTTTACTATAGCACCGAGACAAAAATTAGCATTTAACCTTTCAGTGTGGGTGTGCCCCACTGCAAGGGTACTTTTTTGTTTGCCCGGCGATAGGCTTTAAGTGAAGATTCTCAACTCCTTTATTAAATCAGCCCTAGTATGTCTGTCATGTGCCTCTTGCTGCAGCAGTAATTGAATGGGTACTTGCAGTGGGCTAGAAACCAGGGGAGGAAAAAAAGCATCAAATTGCCCCAGGAGGATTAATGGTCTGACGCACCTTCTAATTTTGCACATTTTACCACCTTAAGAAATCAATAAAAAATGACTTTGTTCAATAGTTTAGAGAAAGTCCAGTAAGATGAAGAAGAAGCAAAAAGATAAGAAAACAAAAGTGAATTTGCACCTCATAAATGGGAGTCTCTGAATGGTTAATTATCCAGATGTTTTTGTAGCCAACAAAATCTTCCCAAACACTACTCATCAGTGGCACACATTGTTCTGCTTAAGCAGAATGGATACAAGTTGTCCCAGACACAGAGTTACATGGCTCGCAACAATAAAAAGCATACTGTACTGAATCCAAGGCGGGCATGCGAAGAAAACACATTGTGAAAATACAAAAACTTTATTTACAAAGCAACTTGCATACCATTCTGTGTAGACAACTCAGTGCTCATACAGAAGAGGACAAAAAGAGGGGCTGGGACACCCCTGGGGCTGAAATATACACTACTGCCTCAATACAAGTCAAGATAGTCCAGCAGCAATAGCAGATGTAACAATCAAAAGATCTGGATAGGGGTACAGAATGCAAAAAGAAAAAACAAAATGTTTTCTTCACAAGTCTTCAGGACCTACCGGACCTGTTCCCAATCATTAGAATATACGCTAAGCTGTGCGTGAGCAGCCCAGTGTATCGTTCTCGGCACACCTCTGTGCCAGGATGCATGAACCAGAAGCAGCAAGGGAGAGGATTTTGGCACTGGCAAGGGAGCAAGGAGAGGTAAGTTAAGTTCGGTTTTAAAAGAATACTGGAAGTAGGGCTGCAACCAACTAATCGATTAATTGGCTGGGTCCCCTAGCTCTCTCCTCCACAATGGGAGGAGGGTACAGCAAGCAGTGGGCAGGTGCAATAGCCAGCCTATTGGCTATTGCAATTTGAAACGGTCAATAGCAGACTGGCTATTGCACCAGCCCACTACCTGCTGTATTTACATTCAGCTGCCGTCTGCGGAATCTTGCTACCGGCAGCTGTCATTCCCTGGCTGAAGCTATTCAAGCCCCATATGCTTACAATACAATAATACAAATAAAAATGATAAAAAGGTGGGGGGAAAGTAATTTTCGGTTTCAGCCTGCCAAATGCTCATGTGGGAGGTACCTTGATTGCCGGCCCTGGAATGCACTGACTTCAATGTTAAAATGACACTAAACTCCGGAGTTAAACTTTTAAATTGCATTCAAGTACCTTTACCATTTGTGT